GCTCCACCTTTTCCAATTTAGGATCCATGCTCTGCTGCCGCAACATGGGAATGCTCTTTTTTGTTTCATCTTCTTTAATCACTTCACTCTTCGCCTTAAAGGAATCCCTTCGTCTCAACATAGTCGGCGAACCCATCGCCTTCTCTGCCAAATTCCCATCAGTGACCGATACGGATCGACTTTCGTAAAGACGCCGTCTCTCGGCGATCGAACTCCTGTTTGTACCACGTTCAAAATTTCCAACATCCTCATTCTCAGGTGACTCGTCCTTCATTTTCGTTTCGAATACTTTGCGCCTTTCCGCGGTGCATGGTGTCTTCGGCTTGTAACCAGAGTCGCTCGAATTGGCGTCTTCCTCGATGGAGCTAGAGTCGCTCTTTCCATTTTCCGCATCCTTCGCACGCTCATTAGGTGTAAAAGTCGGCGACTTATCTGCTTCCGTGTTATGCTCTACAACGTTGTTAACTTCGTTCTGATAACCATTGGTATTATTATCATTATTCGGTGCGACAGGTACAGAGAAGACTTTGTCGAACGAAAATTCCTGGCTGCTAGATTTTGCTTGGAACGGTTTGGGACCAAGTCGAGGCTAAAAATAAAAAGAAGAAAAGAAAAGATATTGATTCGTCTCTTTCGATTCATTAAGAATTGTTCTTGTAAAGAAATGATTGTTAGTAATGTTATGACAATGATGGCATAAGTGTAATATAGGAATAACTAGCCGCACACAAAAATATCACAGAAATCAGATATCCCTCTTATTAAATATAACGTGTTTTTTTCTAAGCTGTAGTTACAACCTTATATCCGCCGATCGCGTTAGGATTCACTGATGTAACTACTGATCCGGGATTCGGCGAAGTACGTGGACGTGCCACCGGTTTTGGTTCCTCCTCGGAAATACTGTTAGTTCTTGATGCTCTCGGTAAAGGTTTTGGTGGAACGGCTTGACCGCCTCCATTTTGTATCTTAATCTTCTCTTCTTCCTCGGATGGCTTCTTCGTGTCTTCGATCTTCTCGGTATCGTTCTCTATATTACTGTCATTTTCGTTCACGTTGCTCTGCACTTTCGAGAATCCTTTTGGCGTGGTAATGACCAAGGATTTCGATTGCCAATTCGTTTGTTCTACTTTAATTTCGCGTTGATTGTCTTTGAGTGCTGCTAAGTTCCCTTTGTGTACCTGGAGGTACGGTAAATTCCTTAATGATCGCAAATCGCATGCAAATCAAACTACACTGTCCGATTTTGCACTTTTGAGATATGTTTCTGCATTCGACGTAATAATTTTGCGACAAGAACAATTTAGCAACACATTCGCACATTTTTACACACACTTATACACACATAACTCGCATTTTTTTGTACAGTATAGACAAAAATATACAGAAGACATGTATAAGCTTCTAAATAACTAAAACTTAAAATCTTTTAATCAAATTTGTTCAAAGCTAAGAAAAAAAAGTCTACTTTTTGACTATGCATAGAAACAATACAAATGTTTTTACACATTTCGTACTATTACTTACGCTGTAGAATAAGCTACAACATCAATTGCCACTTATATTACACGTGCCAGGAATAATATTTTGAATGGTACTAATGTATAAATTATAAAACATATATTGGATATCTGAAACGTGAAAAAAAATATATATGGAATACATAGAAAAAGCAATTAAAAAGCGCAAAATAAAGTAACAGCATAATCAGTAACTGAATGATTTAATAAATATAAATTCCTGCAAAGAAAGGAGATCAAATATGGAGACCATAGTAAAAATAAATATAAAATATGCTTATATTATATTTTCTACTGATCTTATATTCATAATATATAGGTAATATTTTTTCTTAGCAGCCATACTAAAATTTATAGCACTCCATATAATCATGAAAACACATTGCAAACACTTATTACATAAAACCAGCTGGTATAAGTTAGCAAGCAATTTAAAAAAAAATTATGTTGTGTAACACTTTATACAAGATAACTATGTTCTGTATAAAATAAATATATCATCAAATTGATTTCTTTTTATTTATTCCAGAATTTTAGAATATAGCAAAATCCACTTAAAAGTATACCAACTAAAGAAACATTGTATGTGTGAAGTAAAAATATACATTGACATATCACAATCCAATGTTTATCCTCAATATCCAGTTATTATAAAGCAAATAGGATATAATGCAAAAAAATAAATTCTTATAATGAAAAGCATGCACAATGATAAATGATATAAATTTGAAATAATCATACAATCAATATTTACAAATACGATTAAATAATATATGTGTTTTAATCTTTTTAATGATGAAAACTATCTCAAATGTGTACAATATTAAGATCGATATTAGAACACATCCACAACAGTTATTAAAATGTTTACTTACAGTAATCGGTTCTTCGCCTTTGTTTCTTTTAGCAGGGTCCAGTGATATCTTTGGTACAGATGCATTATGACCTTTAATCCATGCTGCTGCGTTATTTTGAGCAATGCATCCAGTCGTGTCTGGATAAATGTCTGCATGAAAATCTCTATATGTCTGAAATTAAATTATAAAATATTTAGATATATATTACATATGGCATAATATATATTTCATATAGACAATATTTAGTACAACTTACTTTTCGTGGAACTTGATACATGATTGGAATCACCATATTAGAAGTGAGTTGTAATAGTCTGTTAACTTCAGCTTGCATTACATTCAATGCCCGTTTAGGAACCAGACAAACTCCTTTAGTTTGTTCGCCACTATGACGAATTCCTTCTACTAGATAAGGATCTTTATCTGTGACTTCCATGTACATAATAGTAGTGTCTCCTTTTCCAGCCAGAAAGAGCATATTTGTGTCAGGATCGAAAAGCGGCATCAAGATACTACAAAATATAACGTTACATATAAACAATTATCGATATTAGTTAATTTAAAATAAATCTGTGAATTAAAGGGACTCATATATTTACCCAGTGCTACAATCTAATTCCAATGTTTTCACTGGCTCATTCAGATGCCTCAAATCCCTAATGAAAACTTGACGCAATCTTGCTGCATCAAATCCTGTGGTGAGTATTCTGTCGCTATTTAGCCAAACTATTCTGGAATCTTTGATACTTTGGTGACTCGAGCATGAGTTTACGATACATGCAGATGCGCGCGGATCTATGATCCTCAATTGCTTGTCTTTGCAAGATGTTGCCAAAACGATACCATCTTGCTTCCAACTTACAGACTGAATTACTTCTGTGTGGTCACTATTAGCTGTAATACCATAAAATTAATTTCAATAATAATAAAATAAAATGCGAATACCAATAAAGTTTCAAAATATTTACAGAATAGCTCTTGTTGAGAAAGAACATCCCAGAGTGAGAGATTGGTAAATGATGCGGTGGTCAGAAGATGTTCAGCAGAAGGATGCCAACATACTGCTTCCACTCTTCGTTGACGATGTGAGAATGTGCATTCTGGATTGCACAAGGATTCTTCCAAACCGCTTTCCGGGATATGCCATAACTTTACCTAATTTTACAAACAGGGTTAATGTAATCTGTAGAAAAATGCAAATCCTAAATAATATTTCTTACAACTTATATTTTGCTGAGAATATAAAACATCAAGACACTTACAAGACAATCCTGAGAACCAGTTGCAAGTAAGCCATCATAAAACGGAGAAAAATCCATATCTGTCACAGTATCCGCATGTGCATGAAGTAGTGGCATAGTTTTGCTCTTTCTACCACAATCCTCCAGTGGCAATACTGCTAAACTGGATCCTGTAAAAAGGAAGAAACATTATTTAAACAAGTAACTTGGAAATTAAATAAATTAAATTTAACAAAGAATACATTTATTGTAGATAAATGCAAGTTTGTACCATTATGATCAACATTGAATGCCATAAATGCCGCAGATGCTGTTATGTTATTCCCATAGGTTTGATATGATCCCACAGAAATATCTCTAATACAAGCCTCTGGCTTGGGAACAATAGGTGTGGCATTTTTGTATTTGGATGCCTTGAAACGCCAAGCCATCTTTAATGCCGCTAACTTAATTCAAATATCCACACTCTGCTTAAATCATGTAATCTGAAGAAAATATGTATCATATTATATCTCGTTAAAATTTTTTAATAGGTAATAAATATGTTTATTAAATCGGAGATAAAGCACTTGTGATAAGCATATGTAGGAAATATTGGGATTTTTTCAGGCGTATACGCGAATACAGCTTTGACAAAACGAAGATGAGCGTTACCGAAAACTTTTATAGAAAAAAACTCTCGCAACTGTAGATTTTGCGCAAAGGAATGCAATCACTCGAACACAAATGCGAATAATTCGCTGGGCGTTGCTCTCGGCGCGGATAATGGCAGGGAGAAATCGACACTGTCAAGCACAGCGTTTGTTGAGATCGCGTCGAACGAGCGAACAACGCTGACGCGACACTCGTTCGGCGTTCGGCGCCGCCGAGCAAACCGCCGTGCATGACTAATAATTTGGGGGTGAGAGAACCACCCTACCCTTCGTTCGATGTGGGGCTGTAGGCTGTAGATCGCCGCTTCGGCGTTGCCCGTTGCCGCTGTAACGACGCTGTCAGAGCGACGCGACGAAAGCGGGATACTCACGATCCGCAAATCGAGGCGCATTCACGCACGAAGTCAATATTTTATTCGCGTTTTCTTTACGAAATTTTTCACAGAAATATAGCGGCGATAAACGCGACAAGACGGCGGACCACAGACGTTGATGCTCTACGCTGCTCTATCAAGCTGTACGCTGTACGGTTGACAGCCGGAAACAGGAAAATTCCCCCTCCACTTTTCCCCCTTCAAGACATCGGCGACCTTTTATCCCTCCCACGCGATGACATTATTTCAAGTCGCACTGTCGGACATCGTAGATATCGGCGATTATTTTCGGATCGTACTTAGACTGTTATTGCTCAATATAGGTTTGAAAATTAGCGATATAAAGTTCAAGTAATGTCTACTATTTATTCCACATGTAATGTAATGTTTATACATTTATATTCCGATATCGATATTTCATGAATAAAATCACTGAATGTAAGATATATACGTGGGATAAAAGAGAAATATCATGTAAGAATTTACAGATTCTGTAACAATGTGATTTTTTATGCATAATGAAAATGGTATTATTCTTTAAGAAGAGCTAGCTGCAGTAGAGGCATCACTTTTAGCGAGGATAAGTCTGCTAACACAGCCTGAAAATAAGAAAACGCATATATAAATGTTAAATATATAGGAATACACAACATACCCCATGTATTTCAGTAAAATCATTTTTATACCTCCACATTTTGTTGGGTATTAACTTGCAGTAAATTTTCTTTTCGAAAACTTAATATCGTCATTGCTAATAGGGGTATAATTTCCAAAGAATCATAACCCAGAATTAAATCCCAAAGATATAATAGTTGTTCAGGTGGTAAATGACCGCTGAAACCTCTCATAAGCCATTTGAAAACTATTCTTATACTAAAAGCATATACATATATTGAATTAATAAATTATATAAATAAAAATACAGGAGAAGATATAAAAATTAACTTACGGTTGAATGTGTAAGTTTTTGAAATGGATCCACAACTGTGGTTCATGGCATTGCAGTAATCGTTCAAAGAGTAAACAGAGAGCAACTATACCTTGTTCATGACTTGACACAGTGTGTAAACGAAACCAATATCTCAGATAGAATGCACGAAAGGTATAATACATGGTACAGGGATTGTCATATAAATAACAAAATGGTGTAGCTAGCATAAAAAAATTGATGTAACAATTAAATAATTAAATTCAAAAGTTTCCTGCAATTCCTTACCATACATTGTGAACCCATGAAATGGGATAACACCACTTGGTGGAAAGACTAAAGTATTTTCTAATGTTGCTGGTTTTCCTTGCAAAACTGCATGGATCACCTGACCACCAGCGCTTCTGTCAGTTGTGACTGGTGCAAGTATTTCGGAATCTCTTGAGAAGCATAACATTGTCTTATACAAGACATCTTCAAATACAAAATATTGATCGTCATTTCTTGCTGTTAATTGTACATCCTACAGCGATATCAATATATGATTTCTTTGTTTTATTTAAAAAGATAATATAATTTAAGAAAAAAGTACAAAAGTCACCATTATTATCAACTTGTCTACGACAATATCATATTGCAAAACCATGTTTTTCAACTCTTCGTAATATTCTATGTCCTAAAAAAGAAAATTATCTACATCTCATGATCATGAGATAAATAATCCCTAATACATTAGTCATACATTATCTTTTATAACAGATCCGAGAACGAGCGACCAGAGACGACCGCGCAATGCTCGTGGAGACCCCCTTTTAAGAAATTCTTGAGCAATTGGAGCATGATTCGAATTCAATACTTTTTCCCCAATATGCGTTCGTTCGGCTTCTAAATTTTGAAAATTTTCTGTGGCTGGCATATCGGGATTTACACCAAGTAATGGCATTCCCTGTGCTAATCCTGAATACATACGTCTCTATATGAAGAGAACAAGTTCGATATGTATAATTACATAAATTATAAATTACAGAGACGTAACTGTAAAATTCGTACCAATTGCGCAAGTGTTTTTACACTAATTTGTATGTGACTGAAATCCCAATTTAGTTCATCTCTAAAATATTTTTATATAAAAAACTTTTGATGACATATATTTTTATTTTCTAAGAAATATAGAGATTAATTTATATATAGACAAATTTAAATAATTATTTAGATTATTTATATATATACACACGGTTGCTTTTTAAAAGAAGGATCGCGTATTGAGAACAGTACGTCCAAAAAATCCTTTGGCGCATACAATGGCCGATATTGTGATAAATCTGAAAGTAATATTTCCTCTCTCTATGAAACATATATTAACTCATATCTTATATAAGTAATTTCACAAAAAGAATTTATATTCTATTTGCAAACTTGAAATTAATTTACCGATGTCGTAAGTACTCAATTCATTCCATTTCTCCGCCAATTCGTCTCTATCGGCAGTAAGTCTTATACGAGCCAGCGGAATATTTAATTCATTGCAAGTCGAGTTCAATGATTTTTGAATACGTCGTTCCCATTGAATTTGAGTTTTTTTTAAGTAACTCAGATCAGCCACTTGTATATGTGAAACTGATCGAGAATGCAGTGAACCCTATAAAAAAATTTCCATTTCTTATAAAGAAATTTTTGTAAATTGAAGCGTCAACTATGTACCCGCGATCGTGCCCAGTGAAACACGGTGTTTCTGATTTCCGTCTCCAAGCCGTTATTTTTCAGCGCTGTGACTAATGAGTTCTTGAAATCATCTTTGTCTACGATGGGCAAGGCGACGATTCTCTGCGAACAAAATAGACAATCCCGAAATTATTTTTACTCGATATTCAACAGCCAGTTGGTCTGATATTCAACCACTTTCACCTGTATCTCGTTATAAAGGGCTTTATAATTCGACATATTCTGCATATCATCGGTAAGTTTCCGCGCTGTTTTGTCGAGCGACGCATTTTTCGCCATTTCCTCGTCCATTCTCGCAAGATAATTGTGTGTTGCGTGCTCCGCGAGATTTTCTCTCGCGAGAACAAATCGTAAATGTGCGCCATTTTTAAACAAAGCGTTTCCAAAGTAACATCCACAGTATTGTGGAGTTTGGAGTCAGAGGTCAGAGTCACTCTAGACTCCAGCTTGGCCCTTGACCCTCGAATCAGGTGATCTCTGCAAGAGAGACAGATGAATTAGAAATGAATTAATTTTTACGAATACATTTCTAGCATTATGTACATATATCTATCTATCAAATCATCTTGTATATACACACGTTTTTTTAGGACTTTACAATAATATGCATGGATAGTTCAATACATGACACGTTTCAATCATCCTGTTACTCTTGTAATTTGTATGAATAGGACGATTGTTAAAAATCCATTCGTCCCATTGAATAAAGTTATTCTACGATTCGTCCTCATGATAGCATACAGTGCTTTGATGAATGTTAGATGCGGAGAAAGCAAAGTTCCATTTCGGAAACTAACGCCACGTTTCGGTGAACGGGAACTGTCCCCTCTCTTTTTCTCTCTCTCTCTCTCTCTCTTTTCCCGATGTTCCGATTCCGTCAGAATCAGAATTTTTTTCTTTAGCAGAATCGCGAGCAATCGCGAGAAAGGTGGTCGAACCGTCGAACGAACTTGCATCTCTTTATCAGCCGTTCCACAATCCACAAAGGCCGATCGCGCTGTCGCGCATCGTGCTTCGCGCTTTCGTGGGGAAATGGCGGCGCAATAGCCGCGGTGGCCGCGGTGTTGTTTTGGAACGAGCGCCTGCTGACGGTCGGCGAATCTGCAAACAAACACTATGGATATCTCGAGCATGCTCGAGGTACAGGTGAAGGAGGAGGCGGATGTTAAGGAGAACGGTGAGGAGGTGGCGATGCGCGATTCTCGCACCCGGGTAATTTCGATGCGCGATGCTCTAACCTATTTGTCTTCCAGTGACACCAGGGAGGGACCAGACATCCAGCACGACCAGTACAGATGCCAGATCGATCTCTCAGGAAGAGAGCAATTTCTACAAGCTTATGTTTGGCAATGGTCAGCTTTCTCTCTCTTTCCCCAAGAAAATTTTTTATTTGTAACGAATAATTCTTAGTTTATAGCCTAGTTTTTCACTTTTTTATTTGCATTCTAAAATTAAAATTTATTATAAAAAGAATACAAATTATATAAGAGATCAATGAATGCTCCTCTTTTAACCACAGGAGTTGTATGTTATAATATAGATACTCAATTCTTTTAGATATTGCATCTGTACGATTTCGTAGACTTCATTGTACAGCTTGTGATATGCATATTGGTTCTGCTCCAGCTCAGATTGATAACATGTCTGAACATCCTGTGCTTCGCACATTGTTATGCGCAAATTGTCGTGAATTTTATGGGGATGGTACTTTTGAGCAGGGTAATGTAATAATTGTATTTTATAGAGTTTTTACATTATACTCAGTATTTATCTTCATTCATGGATGCGTGCTTTCATATATGCTGATTTATGTTTTTGTTACATTCTCAGGTGATGACGCTACAGACATGTTTTGTAGATGGTGCGCAAATGGTGGCAATTTATATTGCTGCTCATACTGCAGCAATACATTCTGTTATAAATGTATAAAAAGAAATTTTACATCCTTGGTAAGAAAGAAAATTGAAGCAGACGAAAAATGGAAATGTTTTGTATGCAATCCGAGCGATTTGTATAGCGCGAGGGCTGTATGCTGGGCTCTACTTGAACATGTACAGACAATGACAAGGTATTGTTGTATGAATATACACAATAGAATATGCACAATATTAGAAATACATTCATTTTCGTCAAGTTATGTCATTTTTCATTGTAAGAATCAAAATATCTTTGATGTATTTTAGGATACTAAAAAATGACAAGAAATTAAGCGCCGCAGAGATCGAAAGAAAGATGAATTTGGATGAATCACCGTGTTGTCCGCGCAGGAGAAGACGTAAGCGTCGAAGACTAGAATCCAATTCCGAAGAGGAAGACGAGGCATATGTACTTGAACATGATACTAATGGATTACCGGTACACACTATACAACGTAAACAATTAAAGAACATCAAATTGCCCGTTAGAATCAATCCAAACGGCAAAATCAAACCAATCATTACGAAAATACAGTCTATGCCGATCCCCATTAGACCTCGTCCATCTTCGTTCTTAACCGGCCCATCGCAGTCTATGACGAATTGCGAAAGCTCAATCAGTTCATCAGAGGGTATCGTCCTTCCGTCGCCTAGCGTGATAAATTCGAATACTTCATTACCATCGAGATACGATTCTAATGTACTGCAACAGCCTTCTTTGTACCATACGACTTTTATGAACAGCGCAGGATCCAACACTTATATACGAACATCCGCTACAGTGAACTCTCGGAATCGGAAGATTCTTCCGGCATTACCGCTGCCGCCGCCGCCGATGCAGTCGTCAACCTCGTATCAGACACCTCCGCCGCCAATACAATCGCCAACTTCGTATCAGGCGCCGCCACCGCCAATACAATCATCAACTTCGTATCAGCAGCCGCAGTCGCTTCAATCTCCACAAAATACAATGGTGTCTATACCCAATCCAACAGACAAGCGTGGTAGATCACTCTTTCTTCTTCCAAAGCCAAGAAAAGTGGATTTAACGTTGACTCCAAACATAATTGATCTCGACAGCGATTCCGACGACGAGCCAAAGGTCGTTGAACAGCAAAATAATTCGACGATCAATGGGGATGATGACATAGACGTTGTAGATATTTCCTTTAACAAGGTGGTACCTGTTGCTCTTACTTGGGAGAATAGCGATGATGATGGCATAAGGGAGGAGCAGCCTTTGCGAGAGATGTGCACGACTTTGACAAGGAATGTCACTTCCTTCAGTGAGACGATGTTGCCGCACAGTCAAGAACTCGATAAACTTTTAAGTGACATGAAGGAAAAAGTGTATTGTTTCTTCGATCTAAATAACGCGATCCAAGACGTTGAATTGGCAGCGCAACAGAGGATTAAAAAGTTCTGTTGGAATATGCGCGGCACAGTCCTCCAGTTGGCGGATATCAACGATAGGATAGTGCGCGAATATAACGGATGGAGGAGATCTCGAAAGACGGAAACGCAAACGTCATCTTCGATCGACGAAAACGAATTAACATCCCAAGAAAATGTAGAAATTCCTTTAGATATGACTTGTGTTAACGATTCTGACACCGAATCCGGTTGCGAAGGATCGGAATATCGAATTAAGAAACCATCCAATCTTATTAAGAGTTGCAATATTGTTGAAAACTTATTATTTTCTAAAAAAACAGTTATACATCGTGGCACCGGTGATCATAATATCCATTTGTTTGCGGACAAAGCGACTCAGGTGTACGACATCCCTAGGGATTATGAGAAATGTATTTCTTATTCTATGTTGACAAAATCTAATGACGATTCAAAAACAGACAATAATGTCTTGAAACAAATGCCAACAGCACCAGACAAAAACTTTGGCAAATATGAGGAACAGTTTATTTTTTATTTGCAACATATCGAGGATCATGGCATTCAAATAGAGGAAAGTTTGGCAGACTCAGATGAAATACCGTTTCAAGAGTTGATAGAAACAAATTCACCATTTATTTCGCATTTACTTCAAAATACCGATTCACCTGATATCATATCTACTGATGAATCGAAAATCTGTGAACAAGAAAAAAGTGAGAAAAGTGATTTGAGTGATCATATTATAGCAATGAACGACATAACTGATACATTGAAAAGCACAATTGGTAATGATGACCAAAAAATTCTTAATGAAACAGATTCTGATATTAGGATACAAGAAACAAAAAATATCAGAATACAAGGAATGATATTACTCGATGAGAAATTACAAAAAACTCACGATAATACAACAGATGGAGAAACGACATCAATAATATCAAATAATAAAGATGCAAAATCGAGTATAATTGTTAGTAATACGGTAAATATGGAAGCATCTACTTCAAAGGGAAATGACGATTATACTATTATCGATAATTAATGAGAGGTATTATTTATCAATGTGCAGTTTTACATCAAACTCTAATGATTGAAATTAATTTGCAATTCATGAAACCGCGTTTTTTCATTTCCATTTTTTTCATTTTTTAAACAAATTTTGATGTGTCAGAAATACTTTATGTTGTATAAAAGTTGTATATAATATTTTATTCTTAAATTGTAGAGATATCTGACGTAGGAATAACATCACATAAATAAAGAGCTTGTTTCCAAAAGAAATTAAGCCTATTTCGTATTTTTTTTAAGGATGTATTCTCCTGGATATGTTAAGTATTATAGATGAACAATAAACTTTTTACAAAGAGTTAACTTTTTGGCATATGCTTTAGGAAATAAGCTCTCTATAAATTACCAATACAATATTATTCTTGCAGTTGTATAACTGATTGCTTATTTGATGTATATATTATCGTTACTTTTACCAATTTTCTCTATTTGTCTCGAATCCTTGTAGGAAATAATAATAATAATAATAAACCTTGATCACAATCGCAATTTCCATTATTGAACAAAGAGATATATTTACAATAATTTAATATTATCTCGAAAAAGAAGTTCTAAGATATTGAACTTGTAGCGGAAGAGTTGAAACATTGAAGAAATTAAATATAGTATATGTTATATTGACATCCTTTGATATCTGAATTCTTCAATATTTTTAAAAAAGGTAGTTCTGTTAATGAAATCTTAAATTAAATGTGAGACGCCTTTTTTATGCTACAGACTGATTGAAAATTTATTTCGCGTATTACTATTCTGATAATAATTAATGATATAATTTTATATTCTTATTACGAATCAAATGCTGAATTTTTTGTATACATTTTGTATACATTTTTTTCGATACATAGAAGAGAATTTATTCTTGTTTCAATTTATATAGTCTACAGATGGCACAAAGTCTGAAATAATGCATAAAATATAATTATATTTATTGGAAAGAAAAGACAATTTTTTATTCTTGTTTGTTTTTATCATTAAAATAGCAAAATATGTGCGCATTTTAATTTACATATTTTTAAAATATGTAATTTGCATTACAGTGTGATTATATGTAATTTACATACATTTGTACACGTAAGAACCTGTTGTTCTGTATAAAGAACATATAAGTAAGATACGCTTTTGGGGGGGTGAGGGGGTTGATTATTATTATATTATTGCCTGATATGCGCAGCGAATCGTTGAACGATGCATCTGTACGCGAATATGTATGTATTATATCTATTCATAGATACTTGCGTGTATTTGTGAGCCATGCGTACATATATGTACGCAAATTTTGAGAGAATAAGTGTACGAAACAAATAAATTGTTTTATATAATACATAAGTTAGAGATTATTTTAGATTTAATATAGTTTATATAATAAAAGAGGGGGAGAGGGAAGAAAAAGAGAAGGAGAGAGCGCCTTACGACTAGGTCAGAAAACATATTTTCTTTTGGCCGTAAACGTTTTGATAAACAGAACAGAACTTTGTTCAAGGTCTGCTCCATCTGAATAAATTTAATATGAATAGTCAATGCAGGATGTAATTGTTTTTAAAATAACAATTACAGCGATCATTATTCTTCCCATATTTTTTATTTTATTTTTCTTGTATACATATATATCAACTCACAAAAACATAACATTGGTCAAGTAGACGTTTTACCTTTAGCATATCGATATTTATTCGATTTATGTTACATGTAAAGATGTATGTAAGTCTTTGTAATGATTTTTCATTATAGAAAGTTTTTCGTCTATTCGTATCTTGATAGTTTTACGAACATAGTGATTGTACAAAAAATGAATTTACAGTATAAAAAACTAAAAAAGTATTATAGTCACTTGTTGCTTTTTTTGGACGTTTGCACATAAAGAGAAGTTCTACTTCGCTTTTTATTATTGTGATACGCAAAAAAGTTTGTATGGCTACTTACCCTTTTATAATTAGAAATGTAAAAACTGATGATATAGCTCATAGAAAGTACTTGAGCAAGTAATGATCCTTATAATATAATGGTTCTCATATAAATAACATTAAGAAGTAGAGAAAAATGATAATGTAGTCGATTTAGAAATTAACCATAAATGCGATGCAACGAAAATACACATGAGAGCATGTCATCGGCAATTCGTCACTCCTGAAGTTCATGAGTTGCAGCGTCATTCTTAAAATTCCTCATTCGTCCTCATATATCACTTCTCAGTATCGAAATTGACCTTTTTTGCCCATTCCGTTATGATACACCCTCAGCGGCATGTAATTCCCGTTTCCGTTCATCGCTGTATTTGGAAAATTATAAAAAAAAAAATTATGGAAACGATGAAAATTAGAAATATAGCGCGAATTCACGGAAACAATTGACAGACAGTTCTTCATGATCCATGCAGAGAAGAAAGAATATTCCGCGGAAATTCGCAGAACTGATCTTTCCGATCGTGACGGATAGTCAAAATCAGAGAAGACAGTTTTGAAGATTTCCACGTTTTAAAAAGAAACGTTATTAGAGATAACACACATAAAATATGTACATGTATTTCGAAGAACACGAAGTCGAAAATCTCGATCGTGTTTGATCACTTACTCAATTCGTAGTCTTTTATGGCAGCTTGCAAAGTTAAAATTGCGATGCATACATTAGACAGAGTGCGATGAGTTTAATTAAGCATTACGTATAATAGAATATCATTTACCTTGCACAATCGTGGGAGGCTGACGGGGACCTTGAATGGTGTGTGCATGACATCTCGGTTTCAGTAGACCGTGATACAAAATGAAATACAGCCCGGCAACGACAGCCGCCGCTATCGCCATACAACGATACACAAATCTCAACGATTCTACGATGTCCTCATCACCAAAATTGATATAAGCACCGACAACGGCTCCGAGGCACCGGCCTGCGCATAGAAAAATCAATATAATTCAAACCTATCAACCGTTAACGTACGTTATAAGCGGCGACATACCGACGCAAAAGTGAGCTATCACAGGCAGCGCTTGGGCAGTCACAGTCAAATGACGCGGTACCAAATGTCTCAGATAGAGAATGGCAGTAACCCACATTATTCCTAAGGTGAATACTTCTAAAGCCTCCGTGATTAGGGACCACCAAGGCTCCGACACGAGACTCAATACGGTGAACCTATTGGATTGGTCAATTGTATCAAATTTTTCAAACAAACGTGAAAATTTAACAAGAAGAGATCTTTCTTCAGTTAGATTTGCGATATTATTATCCGCTTATCAGACTAGAAAAACTTACCTACCTGATTATGTACACCGTAAAGGCAGTGATGAGAAGATTACTATGTCCACAATAGTCCACAAGATGTTCCGATTTCCAGAGAAACAGGAATG